ACTCTATTAATGCCTCCTTGGATATCATAGCAATTCGGGTTATCCGCCGTGACCCGTAAATTTGAGAGGGGGATTAAGTTATTATCCCAATCAACAACTTGCAAATTCCGAAAATATGAGGCCTTTCCGAAGCCTTCTTCAGCAAAATGCCCACTTCCCATTTGGGTTGAAGTGTGAAATCCTCCTGCTCTTGAATTTACAATTTCTCCCCCAAATTGTACCATACTTGCACGGTCCCTCAGGTGGGTGAACAGAAATGAGGGCCAGTACCCGACAAGAACCCCCGACCCGAATTCCAGCCACCAATTTCCATGCTTTGGATCCTACAAACATGCAAAAATTTGAAGTGTTTAGTTTCTTAATTAGCACTTATCAAGGATCTTGCATTAACTAACAAAATTAAAATTCAAAAATGATATATTTTTACAATCAACACATATTATTATATCTTTTTTATAAAAAAAATTATTCACATATTATTACTTAATTGATAAAAGTTTCAAACAAATATATTGTTAACACATACCTTTAAGAAAAAAAAAATAAAAAATGAAAAGATTTGGATGACCAGCACATGGACTTTTGTGGCACCAACAAAGGAAAGGAGGCAAACGCCTTGTTTCACGAATCTTGTGTCCTCAACCATAATTAATCCTCATGTGCTATTTGCTAATTTGGCCTGCCTAAAGGTTTATATTATATATTGGTTTATTTAGTTTATTTTATAAGTGATCCATTTAGTTTGGTTTGTTAAGATCTTGGGTTGCATGCATTTAGAAAATGATTTGTCTACTATGTCTGTCAACAATGTACATTGACAATAAAATTTTACAAGATCAAGAATAATTTTTCTTTAAAAGATATATAAGTTAATAATGCAATGTTATGGTTATAATATATATAGGATTATAAGTTTATAATTATAATATAATATTAAATAAATGTAATGTGTTATTAAATAAATAGATATAAATAATATCATGAGTAAATTTTTAAGTTAAAAAAAATTCAATTATATAAACGTATCATATTATAAACTTATAATGTTATATAACATTATAATTATATCATTTTTAAAATTAATATGCATATAGTTATCTTACATCATGTTATAATTAGGATATATATTGTTAATAAATCATTTTCAATTGATATTTTAATAATCCAAATAATTATGGGAGTTCCTTAGTTAATGTCGTCTAAAAAAGTGATTGAGTTTTAATTTTAAAGCGTTTCAAGAGTTTTCTTGGGCCTAAATTTACAGAGAAAACGGGCTAAAGAGAAACCATCGGTTCTCACCTCATAGGTCCAAGTACACCAAATTGGGCTGTGAGATTTAATAGCCTGCTAATAATTTCTTAGGCATACTTTTTGGCAAAACAATAACTTATGGTCAATACCAATGAAAAAAATTTGATTTTCCTTAAATAAAGTTTCAAATTCGAATTTTGTAAATGGAGAAACAAGTATTGAAAAAATTTCACCTCTAATGATGTCTAACATAACTTAATTTTAGATTAATCGGGACCAATGTAATTACCGAATATCGAGAGATAAAAAAAAAAAACAAAACCCTCTAATTTTCACTTGGACTGAATAGCAATGTTTCAAAAGACAGTTCTGAATTCTGATGGATAAAAATAGCTTTTGAGATCAATGATGAAAATTCAGCCTAAAAGGCAAGAAGGGTAATAGAATGGAGATAGAAAATTTTATTTACAATGAGGAAGAAGAAAAGAGGAAACAAAAGAAAAACAAAGAACATAGTAAAAGCCCTTCTTCTAAATTTCTCTATCAGCTGTATAACATGTCTGAGAACAATAGAAACTAGCCTATTGATGAACTTGGTTTGATAAAGTTTGTGGTGTTTTTCTAAACACATGTTTTCTGCAACGTTTGAAAATGCTATCATATATCAGATCAAATTGAACTCCTGCTCTTTCCCGGTTTACAATGAACAATATGTGATCTGCTTCAACAATCTTGTAGTACCTACAATGAACAACACAGCTTTAAGTTAGACAAGACAGATTTCCTTGATCAATGCAAAAAGAAAGAGCTTAGCTAGTATTCTTAACATGGCAATGAACTGTCATTATCATTGATTGCAGCTTGATATAATTCTCAAACTTAGAAAATTTCCAGATTGCTGGGACTATATGTTTTACAATGATCAGAGGTTTCAAGCAAAATTACGATGGAATTTTTATGATAGACATTAACTATATATGTGTATATTGGAAGAATTGTAAAATTCAACCACGTCTCACCTTTATTAGTGAACTTTAGGCTAACGCTTGAAAATAATACTTTTCCCAACACTGGTAATAAAATAGTGGTAAGGAGTATAACTAACCAGATTCCCGGCTGCAAGGGTTGGCACTCAGAATCATTCACAATAAACCGGTTTGGATGTTCGGTTGGAAGACGAGGGTGAGTCATGGATATGGTGTTGAGAGCTCCATCATTGTCCTGCCAATCCTCATCCCTGAATAAAATATTTAAGAAGGCATGGATCAGGATCTGTTTCAGTTCCAGTTTCAAGCACCTATTTATATTGCATCCACAAGCAATATTTCACTTAATCCAGATTAAAAAGAAAAAAAAGAGGCAGTTTGATAATAGTTTTGTAAATGAATATTGAAATGTTTAATTTCCAATACTTTAAAAAACATAATATGCATCAGAGGAAAGTGTCAAGATCAAGATGTTTCTGTGTAGCTACACGGACTGGTGAAACGATTACAAATTTTTAAGTGTAGGTGGAATTATTGGCACATGTGGTCCAACTACCAAGTACCAACACATAATAAACTTAAAAAGTTTAATCAAAGTCATTAACATTTGTTGTTATTAAGACCTAGAGAAACCATCCAGAAAATTTATATGATGGTAAGTTAGTGCAATGATAAATGTTGTTTAGAAGCAAACCTGTAGCCTTTGTATGGGGGAGAAACATCTGGAGGATGACGCCAGTGGCTCATCTGCAGCACTCGTATAAATAGCATAGGATGTATTCCAAAAATGCTAGAAGGAACCATGACACCTAGGAACTTCCTTGTCCGATTGGTAGCATAACTGAAATAGTATGTGTTGGGAAAGGTTTGAAGATGGCTGTTAAGTCGTATTGACCCTTGAATCGTAAGATCAGGGAGGATCCAATCCCTTGAAGCTAATGGTCCAGCTTTTCCTAACAGGCAATCAACAAGACCCCAAAGACCAATTTTCTTCCATGACATGTTAAAGTGATCAAACCCGAAACTGTAGTAGGACTTTAGAAAAGGAATATCCAACCAGTCATAAATTATAACTCCTACACGGCACAGCTGCAGCAAACATATAGGTTTCATTGTTCTTCCATCCCCCGGCCTGTACAGCATTTAAATCATAGCATCAATTTGAGAGTCAAAAAACTGTTTTGGTACGAGGAACTTAAGGACAACCCAAGACTCTACTATACTAATATTTAATGAACAATATCATGGAAATGAACTAATGAAGTGCAGTTTAAGATTCAAGATTAACGTAACTCATATCTATAGTGACAACATCTGAAAGTTTATAAACCATTCATCCACAAAATTTGAAGCATATCCCAATTGAAAAATATTGAAACTGAGGCTGTCTTCTGGTGGCATAAGATAGGAGAAAGCTAAGAGGGAAACTTACTGCATGCCATCTAAGTAGGTTCTTGTAGTCCCATTGAAAGCCCCAGATAAGGATGTTATGCTCAATACCCAGTTTTCTGAAGTGTTCTCATATCCCTTAAATGCCTGAAAATTCAATACAAAAACATATGAAAAATGCTCAATGGGATTACAATTCATCACGCTGAATACAAACGCCAAATTGCTCCAACCTTGTCAGCAAGCATTTGCTGTAATACACGCACAACCTGAGCACCAGCTGAATGTCCAACAAAGTGAATAGGATGATCCTCATCCCATTCTGGGTAATGCCCTGCACCCGGGTTAAAGTAGTCAAATATAAAATTCAATGTTGGCCTCCAAATCTTTAAAAGGTGAAAAAAAAAAAAACAGCCAAAAAAGCAAAATGTTACAGAAAATTGGGTCACCTTGTTCATAAACTCGCCCAAACTGGGAGTGCCCATAAGCCTTGCTGTGTTGTTCACCATAATCAACTTCCCCACCTTTCAAATAATAGAACAACTCACGAGCTCTGAAACCCAAAAACCCTGTGAGATTTCCTAAACAACAAGCAAAACTGAAGCAGCAAATGAAAAGTAAAATCCTTTGAAATCCAAGCAGCAGGCTTTATGCTTCAACCAACCTACCTATCGTATACGCTGGTTAAAGACCCCAAATCAGGCACCAGAACCCTCTCATCTTTCTTCTCCGCCCCTGCAAAATACGATAAACCTCCCAATCTCTGGTAGGCAAGAAGGTGAGGAAAAAATGAAAATCTTATCTTCTGATTGGAATAATATTGAGCAGAGAATAAGAAAACTAGAAAATCATAACCAAAATATGTATGAAAACGAAAGGAAAAGAGAGAAATTTGAAACAACTTAACATACCCCTTTCCCAAATCCAAAAATCCCATGAACCAGAACGATTGGAGGCAACCCACCAGCATTGGTGGTTGTCCCTCCGGGGCCTTCCTCCTTCAGTTCAATGTTGACGTTGCTCTTAAAAAACAATTCATTCATAGTCTGGGAGAGATCCCCAGCCACCGCCGTACTAAATATGTAAAACCCATATAACAAATGCACAATGGAACTCACAAAAAGCTCGGTTAATTGCAGAGCAGAAATCCACCATCTTATCATCTTCTCCAAACCACCCAAAAACAAGCAGAAATCGAATTCCAAAACAGATTTTATCGTCACCAGAACCCAGAACACACAGAACAAAAAAAAAAAGTGAAGAAGAAGAAGCTTCTAGATCCTAGCCTATTCTCAGAAAAAATCCAACCCCTCCTATGATATATCCACCATAGGAAGGGCAAATGAAGGTCTGAGAAACAGGCGTCTGGGTCCTTCAGTTTTTCCTTAGCAGTTTTTTCTAAAATTCAAAGATTTGAAAAATGGGTTTCCCACAATTTACTCATTCCCCAACTTACATAACCCCCAACAAATCAAATGCTTAATGTTCATTCATTCGTTCTTTTCCTTTAGCTTTCTTCCTTGACCATGACCATAGCTGGGACCAGAGAAGTTCGGAGTATTGGGTTGGCGCCACGTGTCCTGGTGGCAGTGACCGGTAATCTTTCTCACACCACAATCTTTTTCAGGGGTCCCACTTATATTTAGGAGATATAATCCAGGAAAATCCTAATTTTTAGAAGAAAAAAATCCAAAAGAAATTGCTTTTGTTTTATAATAATATTATAATTATAATCTCATTATAAATTTATAATTATAATATAAAAAAATAAAATATTTTGACATTAAAAAATTAAAATATTCAATTATAATCATTAAATACATAAAATATAATATAAATCTTAATTTTATAAGATTTATTATAGGGTTATTATTAAATGTTCTAACATTTTAATATTAGGAAATCTTAATTTTTTTTTCTCATAATATAAAATTAAATAAATATAATAGATTATTAAATAGTAAATATATAATGGTAGAAGGAAAAATTATGAC